CAGGGCCGTTTTATCCATTAGGCACTGTAGGCAACTGCCTAGGGGCCCCGCCACGTTCAGGGGCCCTGTGCTACAGAGAAAAAAATTGACAATGTTTCTTAAACAGTAAAAATTTAATTCGAAATTTCAATGACGATTGTCTTGCTCTGTACATTACATCGACGCTATTTTAGTACATTTCTGAACGCATTCCAAATTAGATATTAATATTATGGTAGTTAGTTCATATATAACGCAGTAATATAATCGCAAGCAATTTTATCGCGGTAATTTTAACGCCGACTAATCAGATGACTATACAGCAAGAGCAGCTTTTTTAACACAACACGCTTGAAAAACGCGCAAAATTCTACGTTGTGAATGCACACTTACTGTTCTGGTACCTACCATAGGTATGTATATTCTATGGCCAAGCTACCAAAGAGTATGTAAAAATAAGGTTGGCAGTACTGGTTCTTTCGTCGCATGACTGGGGAATTCCCCGATCCGCTAAATACATACGTTGTATTGTGTCATAGACAACATTTTTGAAACATTTTTAATGTAATCGTTGAATTTTCACTTCGTGCAATTTGTTTGCGAGTTTTACAGTTTGTGTTTCAAAACTTACGAATTTAGAGCTAACTTAGCTCTAAATTAGTAAAAAACAGTGTAATTATAAATAAAGTGTTGTGTTAGCGAAAAAATATATTAGGAAGTTAGAACACGGTAGGGGGGGCGAGACGAGCATTGCCTAGGGGCCACGACACGCATAAGCCGGCCCTGGTGGTAGTACACACCCAAGCAAACAATTTTTATCAAAGAATGCATGGTCGAAAACAAAACGCAAAACCGCTAGAGGGCGTCAAAGTTTATGTTCTTATATGAGGTAAAAACACACAAAGAACGATGAAGTTAAGTTATAAAAGCAAATTTAATGGCATGTGATTACAATAAGTGTTCAAAACTGTGGCCGGCAGCGGCTATTGCACGCAGTACAACGGAGAAGAAAAGAAAGGCGAACATTCTAAATTACACCAGGCATATCACGAACTTTCCCTGCAGCGGCCGAAAGCTTGGCGACAAGTAACGCAGCGCAGTAACTCGCAACAGGAATGGAGCTTTCACGTTTGCATCAAACAACTTTCCAAATGCGCCAGCACCTTTGCTTTTCGTTTTCAACCATGCATTCTTTGATAAAAATTGTTTGCTTGGGTGTGTACTATCACTTCCTAAAATTTTGCCCATCTTTTTAGAGTCATCCTATGTATATATGTGTTTCTTTTCCGTCGAACATCTCGATTACTATTTGCCTGCGCATACTACACCTCAATTTGTACTTTCACCTTCTTTAGAATTAAAGCTCAATGATGTGAGATTATTATGCACCCCTATTATTTTTATAACTTCTATGAACGCCTAATTCATAGTATTTCAATAATATTTCACACATAAATTTAAATATCGTGACATCAACTAAAAATAATTGGAAAAATGTTTTGTTAAAAGTCGACAAAGGCAGAGAAAGCTAGTTAACGTTTAGAAAGCAGTACAAAGTGTCAAAGAACTATCAACATCTAAATGTATGGCAGATTCAAGAAAAATTATTCTTACTGAAATATTTGCTTACTGCAATTTAATGAAAAACTTTATTCAATTAACTTATCAGTCATCTTAAGTAACACACACTTATTAAAATTTTTCTTATGAACATAGGAAAAAGTTTCTTTTATAATTTCCCTGAAGAAAAAAAAAAACATTATTTATCAAACTCTTGATGCCAACGATGAGTAGTTTTAAATAAATGTGCGCTAAAAACGAATCACAGTGTGAATAACTTTCGTTCACGGACTCACACTTCACGGGATATATTAACTAGTGCAGACGATATTACAAAATCAGACTCAGAAACTTGCTTTCTCTGAATAAACTTGTTTTTTTTTTTTTTTTTTTTTTCCCCCCGACGCATTTNTTTTTTTTTTTTTTCCCTCGACGCATTTGGAATTTCTGACCCTCAAAATATAAGAGGTAGTCTTAGCATAGGAAATATAGTACCAATAGTCTGATCAAAAGTGTGGTTCAAAGTTTGGACTCTACTTTTTGCGTATTTCGTTATAGTTCGAAAACTTTTTTATCGAATT